GATGCCATCGAGGATTACACCCCATCTGGCAAAATCAAAAGGCCTTCCTATTCATTAGTGGTAAATTGGATTAAAGAAAGCTGGGATTCTATGGATACCAACATGATTAGGCGTTCATTCAAGTGTTGCGGTGTTTCAAATTCTTTGGATGGGTCAGAAGATAGCCTAATTTTTGATTTTAATAAAGTGTAAGAGATAAATAACAGAGGAAAAGGTATTGAAGAAAATGAAAAAAGGTATTGAAGAAAATGAAATTAGTAAGCGAATCAGAAAGTGGAAGTGAATCGGAAAGTAAAAGTGATGATGAAAGTGGATTAGAAGATGAAGGTGATGAAAGTGGATTAGAAGATGAAGGTAATGAAAGTGAGAGCGAAAATGATTATTACAAAGAAAATGAAGATCGCAACATAGTTCAAAACTGGAATTAAATTGACGATCATGTTTAAATTTAGAGAGAAAACGTGTTAAAAGTAGATTGGTAAGACAAAAAACATGATAATTCATGCTCCCGTTAATAAAAAATAAAAATATGATAATTCAATAATGTAAATAAATATATTTTCTAAATTTTGCAATTTAAATTTGATTATTTTATTATGTTACAATAATTAATATTTAAATCTATTAAAATACCCGGGTCTTATGTAAAACTTCCTTAATAAAAATTGAATTATACCCGGGTCTTAAGATAGGAAAATTTTTTTATATCTAATAAAATACCCGGGTCTTATGAAGTGGGGGTACGGAAAAGGGGAGATACTATATGCAGTGCTAGACGGTATATTCAAATATTTATAATTATTAAAATAGCATTTATTTATATTTTTATTTTTATTTGCAATTTGTTTAGCAGATTTAAGTTTATATCCAATCCATACTTTAAAAATTTGAAGTAATATTATAATCATGTATGATTTATTTCTTATAAATTATAAAAGCAGCTAAACACCTAAAATATCATAATGAAATTCATTTATTGAAGTTGCATAATCAATACTAGTATTTAACGACTTATTATTTAATGCTTCTATCCTATTTTTAATTTAGATTGATAAAGTATTTTATTTGTGCCCTGTATTTTTGTAAAAAATCTGCCTTTTACGGATCCATTCATGTTAAATGTAAATAATTCGATAAATTCCGTGATATAAGGTTATAAATTCCGGAAATATGAGGAAATATGAGCCTTTTATGGAAAAAAAGATGGAATATAAAAAATGGATCGACTTTTTTTACAGGGGTGCTCTCAAGCAACTCAAATGATAAATTGGTAAGTGATCTGATCAACCAAAAAAGTATCAGTAAGATTCAAAGAGAGCAAGTTAAACCATTTTTTTCTTTAAATGATCTCAATGATCTTCTATTAATAGAAAATTCTTGATTATCATTTAAGTTTATATTATTTCACTTTTAACGCAAGAAATTTTTAATTGCCTTTTAACTTTTTCATTATCATAAAAAAAACAAAAAAAAACATGTTGCTTAATGTCAAAGCTATAAAAAAAATATTCTCTGTGATACTTGAGCATAATAATATCCATCAGGAGATTATATGAGGCGAATATTAGCGTAAAGTTGTCAAATATGTATAATCCCTGGAAATTTTCACTCCATAAAAATATATAAATTTACGGTTTTGCATAAATTACACTTAAAACATAGTTATTTAATAAGGCATATCTTAAAAAGTGCCATAAATTATTCATGAATAGGTAGTTTCGAAGTTTTACATCTTGAAATAATTTCTTAAATATACTATTTTAAGTAATCTACACATAAAAATGATTTAAGAAATACTTCATTGATTTTTTGTCTTAAAAAGTTTCATAAATTCTACATGAATAGGTAATTTCAAAATTTTACAACTTGAAATAATTTCTTAAAAATACGATTTTAAGTAATCTACACATAAAAATGATTTAAGAAATACTTCATCAATTTTTTATCTTAAAAAGTTTCATAAATTCTACACAAATAGGTAGTTTTGAATAATTTTATTGCATTCACTTATTATTCAATTTTGCGTGTAATAATAGTTTGTTTATTATAGCATGTAGAAATATATCTGGGGCTGTTATATCAAAAATTAACTTGAATATAATATATATCTTTAACTATCAAATAGTATCTATCTTAACCAAAAATGAAATTGGATAATTTTAGAGTACTAATAAGTAAAATTAATCAACTGTAGTGTGATGTTTACATTAACACATATATTAAACAAAAATGTAAAAATATTTTGCTTATAACACTTAGCAATAGTTCATGAATTCATTTAATTTAAAAAATATTTCTATTCATCAAAAATTGATTTGTTTTATGAAATCTTGGTATAATATGAACAGCTTGTTCTATGGATTCTAATGGCACCACATCATATTCTTTTAATAATGTTAGCCTAGGACATCCATAGATTTCTGAATCTTCATTATCATCTTGTTCACAATAATCATACCATTTAACCATTGCAAAGATAAATTTTGCAGTATTATGTGAGCTTTTAGAAAATATTTCTCCTAACAATAATACCTAATATAAAACATAACCAGTTAACATTTAAAAATAACATCTAAATCAGTAATGGCAACTTTACTGACCTTTCCAAAGCACATGCCTTGGTCTGTAGTATAATTAGTGGCATTTGTTGTATCCATTACAATAGCAACATCACTAAACCATGGAACTTTATTATATGATGGATCTGCATGGATTATATCTGCAGATTTTATTGTTGCACTTTTATATAATCGTATAAAGCTGTCAACTTTATCTAAAAGTATATCATCTTTAAGCTTGTTAAGTGAATCAAGTAGATTCTCCATTCCTTCAAGTTGCAAAGGATTCAGTATTTCTAATTGCTGGAAAATTTCTAAATGATTCTCAAATGCTGAAAAGCGTATATCATAAAGTTTACTTGATAATTGGCCAACTTTCTGTTTTACAGACTTGGTTGTAGATTCAATTAAAGCTTTTTGCCTAACCTAAATAACAAAAATATTAAATTCTGTTTGGCTTATATTAAAAGTTGTACAGTATATCTTACTTTATTCAAAATTTGGTTCATAACCTCTTTCTTGTTGCTCTTGCGATATGGAATTTTAACATAATATTTATGCAATGTTTCAAAGGTTTCAGTTGTAAAACTATTTATTGAATCAAATTGACAGATAGCTGGTACTACATGATACCTCCAAGAATGCAATTTTGGCAGCTTTAGTTCACTAGGACTAAACCGGGAAAAGATTTCCACAAATTCACAACTCCATATTGTAATTAAATCCTACAAAGTTTATACAGTATATGTTTTATTATTTAAATCAAATGAAACAAAATCTGGTTGCATTTTTACCTCAAATTTAATCAGATCTTCCTCTGAAAATTCTTCATTACGACTCATTATATACATATGAACAAAAAAGAAGTATACAGAAGTAAGTCGAGTTGAAGATATATATGGATTTTTATTTTTACTTCTTCGTTCTATAATTCTTGAATCATTATCATCAAATAAGCCATCAACTATTGAAATTATTACCTTTATTATCATTCGATATTCATCAGCTGTTTGAACAGAAGTTATTCCATTATTAAAGATTTTTAATCCAGTAAACTTTGGAATTGCTGCTAATCGATTGTTAAATTCTTCAATTGCATAATTTCCACATTGTTCAATTAGAAGATCTTGTGTATATTCTAACATATACTTAAAGAGACCCAAATCCAAGTGGTGCATACGATCAGGTAAGACTGCCTCATAAACATTTAAGTTTCTGTAAACAAAAAAGAAAATTATTAGTTAAATTATTTCTTTTTTGTAAGGTTAAATGTCAATTTATTTTCTTATGGAAAATTCCAGAATATGTTTTTTTGATCATGAATTGAATACTCTTTAGCCTTTTTATTTTGAATTACAGAAGCCATTGAATTAGGTGTTCGTAAAGTGATATTTCCTTTTGAAATCTTCATATTATTTAGATCTTCAATATGCACAATACAACTTGGACATGGCATCTTACAATTAGCTGATTTGTAAGTACATGTAATTGCATTTGCTTCCAGCATATCTGCAAGAAATACAGAAATTCTTGGAGTAAATGTAATCTGTACATTCTTGATGTTTAATTCCAGTTCATCCAGTTTCATAATAGGACGAAGTAAAATACTCCAACATCGCTTTATAACTTTACATATAAGTTTCTGAAAGTTATCAGAATTTCTTGTTGCTTGATTTTTACTTTGGAGAATTGGCATATAACCTAATAGCACTTTGGCATTCTTTTTATTTCTTTGCCATGAAGGAATATTACCTAAAGTAAGAAAAACTGGATGCTGTTGAGTTTTACCTAGACTATCACAAAGAGTTGCATCAGAATATAGTATAATTGATAAAACTCGACTTCCAATTTTCAACTGAGATTCTGTCTGTTGCCACCAATTACAATTATACTGTTCAGAGAAAATTCGACTATTCTATAATATGATATATATTAAAATTAAATTTAGATAATATATTTAATCATAAATAAAAAATATAATACCTACTGTATTGGCTTGTCGCTTTTCTTCAAACTTAAGTATAAAGTTATTAGTTATATCTGGCTTTTGAAGAAGTGCTTTAATTGTCTTTATTATTGGGCGATAATGAAGATTATATGAGATACCTTCAAAGTCAATTATATGTTTTTTTTTAAAATCAAGATTTGGTGATACTATTGAATTCATGAATTTATGCATTTCTCTGGAATTATTTGGTAAAGGTGATTTGTTTAAATTTGCATTTTTGTTGAAAAAATTAATAAATGAATCTACAGCTTGATTTGATAAATCATAATCAACACAAATCTTTGCAAATTCTCGATAGGTTTCATTAGGCCATTGTAGAACAGAATCATCAAGTGTTTCATTTACTGCATCTTCAAACTTAGCTCCATGAAAGTCTTCAGAATCAACTGAATCAATTTCAGTATCTGAATCATCATCATTTAAATCATTTAGACCTTCCATTTCATCACTAAAATCATCTGAATCATTCATTTCTTCATTAGAATCATCTATTTCTTTATTAGAATCATCCATTTCTTCATTAGAATCATCATACATTTCTTCATTGGAATCATCCATTTCTTCATTAGAATCATCCATTTTCCCATTAGAATTATTTATTTCTTCTTCAGCATCATCATCATCTATTAAATCATCCATTTCTTCAGGTAAATCAAAAAATTTTTGTGTTTCTACTGTTGTACCTTCTAATTTCTTTTTAATTATAAATGGCAGATGTTATATTCAGTCATCTACATTCAATTAACAAATTGATTTAATTCTGAAATTTACCTTTAAATTCAAGTTTTCAAACAGTTTTTCATCCTGAAAGAGATCTACATCACCTTCATTTATATTTATTTCATCACTTACCTCATCATTTATTTCATATCCTACAATAACAGAGTGGCTTTTTCTAATGTGTTGTAATAATGATTGATGTTTTGAAAAGGTTCGATTGCATCCTTTATATGGACATAATAGACTCATTATGTATAAAGTATTTCTTTAGATTATATTCTTAATTTATTAACTTTGAAATTATTCAAAATATCTTTTTTTTTTTTTGATTGATATTAATTTATTGATTTTGATTAGAATATCATATGTATTTCAATTTAATTATCTCATAATTTTTATACTTTACTATTTTAATTATAGTTTTATATAATATTTGTAATACTTATTAATTAATTATGTAATAGTAGTATTGTAAAGTACAACATCAATGGCGGATTTATGAAATACCCCAAATTTATTCATCATATTAAATAAATATTTGACATTATTTTAGTCACCAAATTTGTATTTAAGTCTCAAATTTATTAGTAAACAGTCAAAAATGGGCCTTAAAAAATATTTTGTACCCAAATCTTGTGTCTAACCAATTTTCCCATTGTCTACATTATCTAACTAATTTTTCCAGTATTAAGGCACGTCATTATTTACTTTTTTAGGAAAAAGCTTAATTAGTATCACATGTTTCTGTAAGTCAATTTCAATTCCAAAGACGCAGCAAATTTTTGCCAAATTTCATAAATCCGCTGTAATGAAGTCTAAAAAAGTATAAATAGTCTAATAAAATTTATATAAACTATTCTTGAAATATTATATATAATATTTCTTTCTTTCTTTATTTTCATTTAATACAATTACCTTTGATACTCTTTAATTTGCTTTAATCATTTTATATGATGTCAGAAACCATAAAATCTAAAAGTAGTAGTAGACCATCATCAAGAAAGGTACCAATTCAAACACGTGCCTTAACTAAAGCAAGAAAAAATAATGAAGGTATAACTAAAACTCTATTAATGAATATGATAATAATATAATAAAATTAGTAATTAGAAAGTATTTTACATTATAATATTGCTAACAAAATAAAAAAGGTAAAAGTCGGGAGAAAGAAATTGAGATCCATGAAGATGAAAGTTGGGATAAAGAAACTGAAACTCAAGGAGATGAAAGTCAAGATGATGAAAATATGGATAACTCGCCAGATACTTCAAAGAAACATGGGCATGACTTGGATATTATTGATACTACACGAAAAACTAAAAGAGCTAGTAGTACGTATCTGATTGTATATTCTCACTACTATATACTGTATTTACACTTTACATAAATTAGAGGATAATAATACTGATTATTATATGGTTCCCACGGAGTTTTTGGAAAAGTTGAACAGTCAGAATAAGGTTATTTGGAGAAACCAAATAAAACAAGAAAAAAAGCTTAATGAAATGAATCAGATGCTCAGAAAAATGCGTCGTGAAGATGCTTTAACACCTGCTTTTTTTGAAGTAAGTATCATATTTTGAAGATTTAATTGATATTATTAAGTTACTAAATACTTTTTTTTTCATAATATTACTTTAATAGAAAGGGATTGTTGCGATTACAAAAGAAATCCAAAAAACATCATTATATCCCACACAGGAGTTGTTTAAGGAACGCCTTGAAGAATATGTTGAAAAAAGATCAAATGGATACATTAATGACATAGGAAAACACAATTGGGATTCTTGATTTTATTCTCAATTTATGCCAATGGTAAGTGTGATATTATTTTTTTTTGATAACACAATTTTTTTATTTTTAATTTATTATATTAGTGTCTTGAAAAAATGCGACACCGTCGAGGCTCATTGTCAAAAGAAATAAAATCTGCATTATTTAAGGTTTTGAAGATCCCAGAAATTAAATCAAACGCAGGTTCAAAAATAGGAGAGTGGAAGAATTCACCTTGTGTAATTGAAGCATATTCAAACATATGGGATTCAGATGATAGCAGTTTAGTTAACATCAATAAAATAATCACGAAGGCCATGCCAAAAGAATCAAAAAAAAGTTGTTTAGCACCTTCGTTAATTTCTTTTACTCTTGCAGTATGCTGTGTGGTTTTAAACCCACATACTGACGAAATTAAATGTAGTGAAGAGTCAGTTAAAAAAAGATATGTAGTTTTCTTGGTAAGTATTATCAATTTGTAATTGTGTTTATGATAAAATAAGTGTTAACTTGTGATTTTTAATAGTCACTTTTAAACGATAACAAGATTCCAGAAGAAAGCAATATTATGCATATTCAAAAGGAAGAATCAAAGATGAAAGATAATGAAAGTATTGAAGATCATGATTCCGAAGAAGAAACTGATGACGGAAATCTCTTTGACTAATAGTGGTAAAAATTATTTCTTTTTTTTTTGCTTTTATTGTCGTTTATTATCATATTATTCATTTTTATTTTATTAGAACAACTTATTTATTAACACGTTATTATTAAATGGTGAGCATTATTTATTTTAGCTCTATTTTAAACGAATAATTAATTATGTGTTTTTATTATAGATTGATTATATACGAATTTTTACAATACAACAAAATAATATTATTAAATTAGATACATTATTATTTACTATTAGAAATATGCTAATACATTGTTAAAAATAAATACAAGATTATTATTATTAAAATGAATTTACACGGTTTTATTATTAAAATAAATTACATGATTTTATACCATTAAAATAATTACACTATTTTTTTATTGTTGAATAATTACGCTATTTTTAATTGTCAAATATATACATATTATTTTTTTTATTAAAATTATTACACAATTTTATACTATTGAAATAATTACGTCATTTTTTATTATTGAAAAATTACGTCATTTTTAAAAATACGTTATTATATACTATTGAAAATTTCTCTAACTTTTTCACACTCGTATATCATCGCGAGTGGTGTAGATTTGCGTGGTTTTTCACGTATGTATAATTTTGTAAATCTACACTTATTTTATTCTCCTGATGTCACTATATGATCAAATTGAAAGAGATAATTGAGAATGACCTATATTGTAGATAAGAGGTTGATTGTAATTTAGTGATGAATGATAATTGTAGTTTTTTATGCGATCTTTAAATTTCTAGATCAAAATTACAAATTCAACTTTCATTTATTATTATTGTTCATTATTATTAGTATTAATATTTTATTTATTTAGTATGGAACTATTGAAAAAGAAATGTGGAAATTTATGGAAACATGTTAATAGAAAATAATATCACTTATAACATTTAATATATAACAGATATTTTTTATATCTCTATAAAAGAAATTCTGGGAAAAACTCCATTTTTCTAGTTTTTATTACGAAGAAACTCATATACTGATACACGTGCCATTTTTCTGAAAAATTTTTTATAGGGTATATATTTTAATAATTAGTGCCGCATGACAATGAAATATTATCATGTGTCACGATCTATTTTTACATTTCTTTTATGCCAATCTTTATTATTAATGTACAATTTCCCTCAGGAAATATAACATTTAACCCATTATTGACAAAACTTAAGGCCCTAGCGATAGCTATGCTGTCCTAATGACAGCATCAGGAAATTATATAGTGCAAAAAGTTGCGCAAGTTTACACATCATAATATTTCGTAAGCTTCCAGACCCGCCGCAAGTTTGCGTAAGCGTAATATTTTGTAACTTTTTAAAATATTTCGAAATATTAC